TGAGTGGGGATGTCGGAGTCCCCACCGCACCGGACGAGTTCCCCCCTGTCTGTGTTCGAGGGGGGTAAAGTGTGACGAAGGGGTCCCTGGAGTTCCAGGAAGCGACGATAGTTCGTGGGTGCACCCCTCCTTCGGCAGCCCGTCCCCTTTTCCACGATGCGTCGTTAAACCTAAGATATGTACAAAAAACCCGACTTACATAAAAAAGATACACTAAAAATAACTAAAAGTAATAATAATAATATAGAGGAAGACCTACAGTCTATAGGAACTGATATTCCTGAGAACAGCGGTACTCATGGGTCATTATCGTATGCAGCTGGACATACTCCGAAGCACTCTCTTAATCGGACTCCTCCGTCTGGTACACGTATTCCGATCGTGGAAGAGTCTTTCGTCAATGTACTTCCAGTCACTACATCCTCTATTAAACGCAAAAGAGACACTGGTACTGAAATAGAAGGCGCAAACTGCTCTAAAACTTCGCAAAATACCAGTAGAGGTGGAAAGAAGTCATACAAAAGAAACAACTCGGAGTCTGATAGCTCCGCTACAGAGTTCTCTGAAAATGAGAAAGCCGACGATATTTCCTTCGTCTACAATGAATCCAATGTAAATCTTGCCACTATTCTCCTAGAATGCGTCAAAGAAGTGGAAACTGTCCGTATGACATCTAGTAACCTAAAAGGCGGATACGTTAAAAAATTAAAAGAAGCTGAAGGAAGAATTAAAAAAGTGTGCTCGGAATTACATGGTGAGCAATCTAAAAGTCACGAATGTAAGAAATCAGCTGATCTGCTCAAACAGAATTTAAAATTAACTAAGCAGGTCAAACATTTAGAAGCCCGATTACAATTCGTAGAAGCACAGCTAGCTAAACAGTTACCTACAGCTGAAACTGATTCGACTTCTGCCCTAACATCATCTCATAATATACCTACTTTAAATAATATGCTAAGCAATATAAATGATAATATCGAAACGACATTAGCAGATTTCAGGAAGGAGATTGTTACCCTCCTAGCTGAAAAAACTCAATGTCCTTACCCTGTTTCTATCTCTGCATCCTCATCTTCTCACCAGGCTCCTTCCACGACTAGTAGGAAACCTCTCAATGTTGCATCAGCCCCGGTCAATATCCCTGCTCCTCATACTCCAGAATCTTGGGCCACAATAACTAAAAGAAATAAAAAGAAAAATCAAAATCAACAAATTTCAGGTGCATCATACTTACCAACCTCTTGTCCTCCTCCCTCTTCCTCTCGTCCTGCCCCTGACCCCAACCCAACTGCCTCTCGTCCTAAGGTACCTGTAAAAAAACCAAGAAGTGTAGATATAGTATATTTATCGGAGACCAATAATGGTAAACTAAAACTACCGGAGATTCTTAGAAAAGCAAAAGAAAAAATTGATCTTAAAGAACTAGGTATTGAGACGATTAAACCTCGTACGTCCATCAACGGAGGATTGATTCTTGAAATTCCCAAGCAGAAAGGGAACAATGCCGCAACCAAGCTGGCTGAAAAAATCAGTGAGCTTTTCGACTCGGAGGATGTGCTTGTTAGGTGCCCTACAAAATTCAAAGAATTCCTTATTACAAACCTGGATTTTGCCACAACTAAGTCAGAATTGTTAGACGCACTTGCATTAATTTCCGGCGAGAATGAAAAGATCATCCTCGGCCCAATAAGAGCTAATAAAAAAGGCACTGCAACAGTGTGGTGCAAGTGCAGCGAGACCCTAGCATACAAATTTTTATCCAAGCAAGTAGCTCGCATAGGATGGTCTACAGCGCGCTTTCTTCCTCTTGAGAACCGGCCCTCCCAATGCTATAAATGTTGGGCATATGGACACGTTCGCGGACGCTGTACGTCCGACATTGATATGGCAGGATGGTGTTACAAGTGTGGTCAAGATGGGCATCCTTCAAACGAATGCAAGAAGGATAATCCCACTTGTAAACTCTGTGAGAGAAATAAATATGATTCTAAACATCGTATGGGATCAATCACATGCGCCTCTTATATTAATTTTAAAAAGAGTGCACAAAAACCACAAACCTCCTCGACAAATCCGTCCAATGTACCTGGAAAAACGAATGCTGGGCTGGAGGGACCTGAAAAAAAGAAAAAAAATTAATGAGAGACAAAAAGACACCTGTACCTATTACAGTTATGCAGATTAATCTTAATCACGCTGCTGCTGCACAAGCCCTATTAGAAGCTCACATTTCCAACGAAGATTATAATTTAGCGTTGGTCTCAGAGCCGTATAACCCAGAGAAAGCTGGTTGGTATGGCGATAAGAGCAACAAGGCTGCAATCATATTTAATTATAAATTTACCACCCAATCTGCATTTAGAGTAATTCATAATGACAATAATATTGCAATGGTGATTATTGATGGGCTAGCGGTTGCTTCCGTCTACTTTCCTCCGAATGAGACTCGTCCTTGCTTCGAGGAGAGACTTCGGATACTCGGCAGACATATTAGAAACCTCCATAATACTCCCTTAATTTTAGGTGGGGACGTCAATGCTGCAGATCCAGCTTGGGATTGCAGCAATAGTAACCTACGAGGAAAAATATTTGCCAAATGGGCTCGATCGAATAACCTTTTTTTCATTAACTCAGGAAATGACCCTACCTGTGTTCGACCACAGGGATCGTCTATTGTCGATATCAACTTAACTAACTGGCTTGCATTTCCAAATATTTCACAATGGCGTGTCCTTGAATGCGAAATGCTCTCAGACCATCGCTATATCTCTTTTAGCTACTGTTCCAAATATACTACAATCTATAAAAGCAATAATTTTCCAAGATGGAACAAAAAATCCTTTAAAACCGAAGCGTGTGAGAACGCTATTTGCGTGGTTCAATGGTGCAATACTCTGTCGCGCTCCTTGAGGTTCTACAAAAAAATTAATAATATAAATACTCTACTTACCAGCATTTGTAACGCCTCAATGTCCAAAAGCTCCTCAGCTGGGCGTCTTCCTCCCCAGAACTGGTGGTCGACTGAAATCTCAAAATCACGTCAAGACTGTTTGAAAGCTAGAAGGATTTGTCAGAGACTGAAGAAAAAGAAAAATATCTCTACTCTCATGCTATCTTCCGCAGAAAGGAATTATCGTTCTTGCAAAAAAAGTCTTAAACATCTAATTCATGACGCAAAAAATAGACAGTGGAAAAAGTTACTTACTGATCTTGACAACGATCCATGGGGTCGTCCCTATAAATGGGCGACAAAGAAAGAATCAACGACTCCTGTACCGCTAGTTGAATCGCTAGATCCTGTGATCCTCGATACTATGATGAATTCCCTCTTTCCTACGACCTATAACAGAAAAATATCAATTAGTAATGTCACCTGGAATAACGATGACAACGTGTCACCTGGCGAATTGGAAAACGCTGTTAAAAAAATGTTAAAAAAAGACACCGCCCCTGGTCTTACAGGTGTCCCATATTTTGTTGTAGGACGACTAATCTCGAGTATCCCGGATCCCTTCTGCAACCTATTCACAGAATGTTTGCAGAAAAGTATTTTTCCTACCTGCTGGAAGAGAGCGAAATTGGTACTGTTGAGGAAACCAAATAAACCTCCAAATGATCCATCTGCGTATAGACCGCTCTGTCTTTTAGACGACATTGGAAAAATTCTGGAAAGAATTATAAATTCCCGACTCGAATATCACATGACAAGTACCCCATATATGCTGGCTGAGTGTCAGTTTGGCTTTAGGAAGGGTCGCAGCACAATACACGCCCTCAATAGTGTAATCGATAAAATCCATTCATCTATATCAAATAATAGAGTAGTAATTACAATAAGCATTGATATATGCAATGCATTCAACACTCTACCGTGGAATGCCATTATCAACGGATTGATCGAGAAGAAATTTCCTGTCTATTTGATTAAAATCATATATAATTATTTAAAAGATCGTGAAGTCATCGCACGTAATAGGCAAGGAAAAATCATAACAAAGAGGGTCACCGCAGGCGTTCCCCAAGGATCTGTGTTGGCTGCGACCCTCTGGAATGTTGGATTCGATACTATCCTACGTACCCCAATGCCTCCTGGGGTTACTATAACGGGCTACGCTGACGATACACTTATTTTAGTGTCTGCCAGGAATTTTATCCGTTGCCGTAATAAAGCCTCAATTGCTGCGCAGAATATATTCAACGCAATCAGACGTATTGGACTAGATATTGCGACGCAAAAAACGGCTATTATGTGCTATACTAATAAACCCAGAGGGATTGACCGTAGTCTGAAATTTCTAAATATCGATAATATTCAAATTCCCTTCTATGACTCTTTTAAATATTTGGGTATTAATATAGATAATAAACTTACCTTCAGAGTGCACTTTGAATATATTATTCCAAAAATCGTAGGATATATCAACAATATTAACCGTATCCTACCAAACCTTAACGGTCCCTCTGAGTCCGTTCGAAGACTCTATATGAACACCTTCAATTCCATAGTCCTATACGGTGCACCAGTCTGGGCTGAAACTATAAAGGATGATACATTAATAATCAAGAAGCTATTACAACTCCAAAAGAAAATGGCAAACAGGGTTACCTCCTGCTATAGAACTGTTGCACTGAATTCCGTACTATTATTATCGCGTTGCATTCCGATTGACATTCAAATACAAGTTAACTCTGATATATATTACGCACTAGAAAGACTTAAACGCAACGGAGGTTCTACTCGAGACATTAATGCACTAAAAAACGAAAGAAGTCATATAATGTTAGCCAGATGGAAAGAGAGGTTAAATGAAGAACCTATTTTATCGCACCCGCTTATATCTGCGATTCTTCCTCAATTTGATCATTGGATCAATAGAAAACATGGTAAACTATCCTTCCATCTTAGTCAAATGCTGACTGGCCACGGCTGTTTTGGCAAATTTTTATGCAAAATCCAAAAAGAACCTACGCCGGCGTGCCATCACTGCAGTGCAAGCATAGATTGCAATATACACACTTTCTTTCAATGTCCTGCCTGGCGGAACTTGAGGAATACCCTGTACTGCACAGTCGGTGAATTACATACTCTCAGCGACCTACTCTCTGCACTATTGGTATCCAAAGAGAACTGGATTGCCATATTCACATTTGTAAAACAGGTTATATTAGAAAAGGAGAGAGCAGAGAGAATGAGAGAGAGTGAGCGAACATAACTTTGCTCCCTCGCTCTCGTAACTCGCATTATTTCTATTGCAAATCTATTTATACTTTATCTATTTATTTATTTAAACTTATATTTAAACTTATATTTTATCTATTTATCTATTTACATCTACATTTTTTATCTATTTACTCATTTACATCTACATTTTTTATCTATTTAC